GGAGGCAGTTATTGCTTGGAGGGAGAGTCCCCCTCCCTATAGGAAGCTGCAACCACGTGTCACAGGAGGGAAAATGGCTGCGGATCCTGTTCGTCATCCGATCCGGCGTTCGTGAACGGAAGCAAAATTTTGCGAACGAGCTGTTCGTGACCCAAATTGGTCATGAACAGAAGCATTCGTGACCCGAGGTACCACTGTATTATTTAGGCCTTATTTTTTAATTTAAATTTGGAGGCCCAGGTGTGGTCTGGGGCCTCCATGTCAAAAAGTAATTGGGGAATAATTGCATTTTTAGGTACTCTCCCATATAGAAGTACCCTCTTGTAGGAAGCTAGCATCACAAAGAATAGGCCTTTTGATATGCTAATCTTAAATGCATAAGACATATTTAACATGGACTAGGAGGGGAAATCCTGTTGGGTAGTTCATTTGTCCGCAGTCTGAAAAAGAGTGGGAAGAAAGACTATAACCTATGATTCTTCTGAACACTTAAGTTCATTCACTTTTTTCATGCCTGTTCCTCAAAATAAAAGAGCATCTCTTAAGTCTTTGTAAAGAAGGTTGATTGGCTGGTCATAGATAATATATTTAACTTTAAGCCCAGATTAACAAAATGCAGTGGTTCTATGTCACATAACATGCTATACCCAAATAAATAAACAATGCTGTGCCTTAATGTGGTGGCGTGGTTTACAGAACACATCAGGCAATATGCTGAATGACAAATTGCCTACCACATTTTATCTGGATCTTTGGTGTTATGGAAACCCAGCCACTGTGTGCTCAAAGCAGATGATCGTACAGTAACTGATCCAAAGAATTTCCTGGTGCGCCATGAAGGTAGCATTTGGCTTGCTCAAAAACTGCCCATGGTTGACAGTATCTGCTTCCTGCTCCTGATGAGCTCTTTAATTCTCTTTGATGGGTCTTTTCTCACAGCCCTGCTTGGAAAACACAATGACACCACAAGGCTGAAGGCTGGGCTGGGAAAGGCATCCTCTGCACCAGATCAGATACAACGGTAACCAGTCCTCCTTGCCATGGCTAAGAGCGCAGAAGTGAAGCTGGCCATCTTTGGCCGAGCTGGAGTAGGAAAATCAGGTAAGTTTCTTTTTTCTCCTTGGTTGTTCTTTGCTCTTCTTTGGCTGTTTCACTTCATTTTTAAAGAAGTCATCTGCAGGCAAAAACGAAGGGAAAAAAAGGCATTCCTGCACAGATGAGTAGCTAAACAGAGAAAGAAAAAAACTGTTAAAGCTTATGTTCTGTCAGTATATCTTTATGGAGAGTCAGTGTTTGGAAGGTGATCCCACAATATGCAAGAATTGGGGAGTGGGATAGGTCAAACCACTGGAACTTATTCTAAAAGCTGTGTTGGGACTTAGACTGTCCATAATTTTTGAGGCTACTGAATCTCTATTTGCCACTGAGTTAGCTGCTAATGTGAGTTAGGCATTGTGAATAGCTTTGGCAAGATGGTAGCATTTCAACCTATAAGTTGGAGATATCCCCGCTAGGTGAAAATGAAAGAGGGCCAGTTTGGTGTAAGGGTAAGGCACCAGGCTAGAAACCGGGAGACCATTAGTTTTAGTCCCACCTTAGGCACAAAGTCAGCTGGGTGACCTTGGGCCAGTCAGTCTCTCTCAGCCCCAGGAAGAAGAAGGAGGCAAGGGCAAACCATTTCTGAAATCTTGCCAAGAAAACTGTAGGGACTAGCCCAGGCAGTTGCTGGGAATTAAGACTGACTTGAAGGCTCATTCTCTCTCTCTCTCTGTCTCTCTCTCTGTCACACACACACACACACACACACACACACACA